AATTTTAATTATTCATAAATTATTACTTTCTAGTGCTGCTACTCTCAAAATTCTTAAGTATAAAAAAACTAATAAATAAATGAGTAATTTGTAATTATCAAATAATTTATATATGATTTATTCTTTTAAATGTGTATATTCCCTTTTCCTAGTTTTTTACATTTTAAATTTATTGCCTAATTTCTTTCGCCGTTTTTTTTCCCCCATTTTTATTACATTATTTTTTACATGATGTTAAAATCTTGTGTTAATTTCTAAGATTTCTAATATTTCGTAAATTTTTGGAATTTTTAAAAATTTTATCAGAGTTTTCATTTTTGCCTAAAATTTAATTTGAATGCAAGTTTTTCAAATTCCTCACATAAGTTTTTGAATTTTCTTTTTTCTTCAAATATGGCAATATAAATTCAATGTAAATTATATGTAAATTTTCAATATCATTTTAATTATGTATGATAGCTTTTAATTTTCATTAAAACTTTTGACCTTTCCTTCATTTTTTTCCTTGTTTTTTTCTGTTATTTTTATTTTTATAATACATGTAAATTGTTTTTCTTTTTTCCGATTTCATATAAATGCTTAAAATTTGTATGCAAATTTTTAATTTTTATAAAATTTTATGATAATAGTTAAATTTCATGTTCAATTTCAATTTAGATATATTACTTATCAAATGATGCATTCTCGTACAGTCTTATAGTCAGTTACCATTTACAAATATAAATTAGTTTCTCTTCACGAAAGTAAATGGTAAGCGCATTTAGTTTATTCCAATCAAAAAGCGCCACTTTTTTTTTCCACCCTAAACATTTTCCAATGAATATTGGTGATAAAACATAATTGTTGAATGAGGAGAGAGAGGGAGAGGGAGAGAGAAAGAGAGAGAGGGAGAGCTGAAAAAAAAAAGCAGTAAGCAATCATTTTATTTAACAAAAATGTTTTAGGAAACAACAGATGCTAATTTTTCCTTTTACCCTTTTCTTTATCAATTTTTCATTAATCTTTTTCAAAAATTAATTTTAAACTTATAACTGTTAAAATTTGACCTTTCCATCACGCAAAATCTCTCATATGAAATATTGTAATTTTGAAATTTTAATGTTTAAACTTTTTTTTTTAAAAAAAACAATTCTATTATTAATAATATTTCAAGATGAAATTTGTTTAAAAATTTGAATAATATTAAAATGATTGTAAAGCTATGCAAATAGTTGTGATAAGTGATTTATCATTGAAATCATATCAGCAAAAGATTTTTAGATGAATTCATTTATTGCTCTAAATATGATTAACGAATTAATTGTATTAAAAGTAATAGTTCCAGACTAAATCAATAATTCACCAAATGTACCATTGATGTTGATCTCATAGCGTTACTCTAGTTATCCTGAGAGAAACTTTTGAATGAATCCATCTACTAGATAGTTCGATTAGTTCTTTACTCCTATACCAAAGATAGAATTGATTTAATTTTGGGATCTTTATCAAAATTTTCTTAAGCTTCATCTTGCTTAGATATAATTAGTTCACATTCTTTCGGATTACAGTATATATGCTTTAACTCTGACTTATTGCATACAATATGAAAGTGGTTATATATTTTCTTTTTAAATTTATTACCTAATTTCTTGAGTTATAAAAATTCATGTCCCTTTTTTTTTGTTTTTCATATATTACAGTGTTATTTCAAGTTTAACTAAAATGTTAAAAGTTTTGATTAAAGGATATTTTCAAATGAACGGGATTTATCATTTTTGAACCTAATGATTTATGATATAAATGAAAAAAAGTCAGAGTAGTTTCTCGTTATGAAAGGAAAAAAAAACTAATATAGTGAAATCGTAATTTTAATTATTAAATATTATTATTAAATGTAACCTACTAATATAATGGAATCGTGATTTTAATTATTAAATATCATTATTAAATATAACCTTTATCTTACAACAATGCCAAATATCAGATTTATTTAGTACTGGAATGGATAAATAAGGATAAAATATATGAAAGTATCAATTACTTGATATTGCAAAAAAAAAGAAAAAAAAACCAATTATTTAATTACTCAATATTATCAGGATTATATCAATTGTGTTTTTAATTTGATTAGGTGAAATATTTCAATTTAATATAATCAAATTATCATTTCAACGATAGCTTTATTGGAATAAATAGTTGTAAATCATTTAATAATAACCATAAAAACTTCAATTAATTGTTCAGTTTCAATTTTATTTGTAGCAGTTTTCCTCCTGATAATTTTGATTTTTATTTTCTGATACAAAAAAAAAAAAGAAAAAAGGAAGAAAGAAAGTGACAATTATTCTTTTCGTTTATTGAAGTTTTGCATAAACTTTTTATTATTGATTAAAGCATTAGCTATAAAATTATTGATAAATCGGTTGGTAAATTTTCTAATTCAATTGTATTCAGCAATTTTTCATTTCTTTATATTTTGGCAAACAATTTGATTATATCAAATCAATTTCAATGAATACTTTTTTGCATATATGTGTTACTTTTTACATTACAAGTTACAAATATTATTTATATTTGTTGAAATACCTCGAAAAAAAAAGTTATTTTAAGGTTTTAGCTAAAAATGAAATTGAATATACGATTGTTGAAGTTTTTAAAAATAAATAGCAATCATTTTGAAAGGTTGTGTTGCTTAATTAATTTTGACTTTATTGATTTCACTTTTTTTTTTTTTGTACAAAGCGATACGAAAGTGTTAAATTGAAAATATTGTGAGTGTTAAAATTGGATAAATTCCAATCATTTTGATGGGTTTTTTTTTTTTGTTTCAGAACAATTGTCATTTTGTTTGAGTATTATCGTTGTTTCCATCTCTCCTGAATAACACATTGTTTCTTAAAATGCATTAGCAATTATTTAAAAATAAATAAATAATTTAAGTATTGTTTGATATTTCAAAGATTAAATTGGGATAATTGTTCTGAAATAAAGAAATTACATATTAGGATTAAAAAAAATTATATGTAGTTTTAGCTCTTAAAATTGAAATTTTTTTTTTTTGAATCAACTTTTATACCACGTAAATTATTGTGTGATATCAATTGGTTGGTGCTATAATTTATAGATGTTTGGTAATAAGATTAATTTTATAGCATTACTACTATCGTAGTTATACCTTATCATTATCTTATTTATTTATTGATTTATTAAATATATTAATTTGATTTACAAATCAATCAAGAGAAAAACAAAAATATAACAGCCGAAATAGACATCGATATTATCAATCAATTACTACTGCTACAATTTTACTGCTACAACAACAACAACAACAACAACAATGACTGTTAGTATTATTTCTACTTCTACTACTACTACTATTACTACTACTACTACTACTATTATTACTACTACTGCTACTATTGCTTGTACTACTAATAATAGCTTACCTGTCACTTCTACTGCATATAATGTAGCGGCTATATCAAATGCAATTATTTCGGGATCATTTATGACATCAACTAGTAACGCATTAACATCCTTAACAGATGATTACAAAGCGCGAACTAAATCATTTTTGCATAATGTAATGTATCGTTATGGTTTTCTCTTCATCTTATTGGAAATTAATTAAAATTTTTAATTACGGTTGTATATAAGTGATAATATATTACCGTAACTACAATGATTAAAGTTTTTAATTACAATTATATATAAATGGTAATATATTATCATAATTATAATTATAGTGTTAAAAATTACCATCGTATAAGAATTATTATGTTTAATAATTAAAAATATATCATTATTGTTTTAAAAATTATCATTATATAATAATTATTATGTTTAATAAGTAAAAATAAATTCATTATTATTGTTGTCGTAGAATGAGCATTAATTTTTAGATGGGCATAAATTGTGATATTTGTCTATTTGCTTATTTCATTCTCTTCTTTCATTCAAATGTATCAATGAATCAAGGTATATTTGTATAGGGTAACAATTAGTTATGATTAAATTAATTATCGTAATGATGAAAGTTACGATAAGATTTTGTTGTTAGTAATATTTAATCATGTCTACCGTATTTCATTCACAATCCATTACTCCTGTTCGTTTCTTGGTTATATATCAACATATGAGAGAATTCTTTTTCATTTTTTGTTGATCATATTAGCTGTAGGATGAATTTATTGAGAAAAAAGAAAAAAGATTGAAATAAAACCGAATGAGATAATATTTTGTTTCCTTATTTTAAATAACACTCAAAATTAATTGTTTATATTTTTCAATGTAACCATAATTAATTATCAATGATGCAAAGATGAAATGATAGAAATATGTTGAAGGATTTCAAATTAAATTATTATATCTTTTCTCATCAATTATCACATGCTATTTCCACAATGGTAAAATTTTAAGCTAAAAAATTAAGCTAGGATAATTCATTATTAAATGATATTTCCTATAGTTAGCAAAATTGGATGAATAAGGATGATATGTAAATGATACACAGAATATATGATATGTTGGTAATTTGTATTTGATAACAAAAGATGAAAATGAAGTAAGGAAGGAAAAGATCAGTTGATTCTGATTAATTTTAATTATTTCGAATACTTATATTGCAATTATACTAAGGAAATATGATATATAGTGGGAATGTTATATTAGCTAATTAATGTTATATTAGCTAATTAGGATATGTTACATTTTTATATTTTTAACAGAAAATAAGCAGAAATCGAAAATAAGTAGCTGATTTTTTTTGTTAAAAATTTGAAAATTTCACCAAATTAACTATTTACTAATGAATGATTAATGAAATGATTAATTGATTGATTGATTGATTGACTGACTGACTGACTGATTGATTCATTGATTGTTTAAAATGTATGATTTATACGCTAACAACTTTACGTGCTTTTTTATAGGAGCAAGAATTGCAAAAATGTCAGAATAATAATTTGAATGAAAAAACAGGTATAGCAATTGATAATTCCGGATTGAAAGGTGGCATTATGATACAATCAGTTAGTGCTTTGCAAGCATCTACCCTTTCTTGTATGGTATGTATCTTCTTTTACTAATCATTCATTTTTTGTTTGATTTAAATTTGGATTATTAATTTTAAATGTTTAAGAATTTTGATAAAATTATTTCGTATTTTTGTTATTGTTTTGATTTAAATTTCAAGTTTTCCAAAAATTTCATGCATAATTTTTTTTTTATTTTTATTTTAGGAATGTGCGAATACATTACGAACCGATGTTAAACAGGGATTATCATCAACTGAAGTAGTTAGGCGACAAAAATATAATGGTTATAATGAATTTGATATACAAAATCATTATCCTATATGGAGGAAGTATCTGGATCAGGTTTCCATCCTTTTTATTTGCTAATTTTTTTGATAAAATTTTATGTGAAAATTGCCTGTCTGCATTGGTAATAATTTGATTGTGTGAAATAGAAGTTTAGCTTAACTTATTTTATGTTTAATGGTAGCAAATGATTTGAAATATATTTGTTTAGCATACAAGTATGTTATCGTACACTATAAATATTAGACTGAGATATTAAATCATTATAATAATTAGTCAAAATTTGAACAGTTGATCTAATTTTTTAATTTTTGATTTATACTTTATTAGTTTCAATCTTAAATTTTCAAATTTAAAATTTTTTTATCAGAACTTTTCATCCTTTTTTCATCAAAATTATAGCATTTTTTTTCAAAAATTAAAAAATTTCTTTATTTTTTCAGTTCAATAATCCGTTAATCATCTTATTGCTTACAAGTGCTGCAATATCGTTATTAATGGGACGAGGTGAAGATGCAGTAAGTATTACAGTAGCGATTGTTATTGTTGTAACAGTAGGATTTGTACAGGAATATCGATCCGAGAAAACATTGGAACATCTTAATAAACTTGTTCCACCAACATGTCACACGTAAGTTTACTTATTTTACATATATTTTATGTGCTTAATCTGTGCGAAAACTGTACAGTCTTTATATTCTGAATTTCTTTTTTCTTCTCTTTTTAGAATACGTGGTGGACATGAAATGCAATTTTTGGCACGAGAATTGGTACCTGGTGATATTGTGTTGTTGAATGTTGGTGATCGAATACCAGCTGATTTACGATTATTTGAGGTAAAAATTCAGTTAAATGTTCGAATTGTATGAAAATTTGAAATGAAATGTTCACTACTTTACTTAATTTATTAAAAAAAAAGAAGAAAAATGGAAATTGCTGCTGCATTTTGTTGCCTTAACAATGATATGATATAAGCCGTAACGGGATGGAAATGACTTTCATCATCTTCGATGCAGTATTTATAATTTTAAAGCAATCTTTCAACTTAATACTTTCCCTTTTCCGTATGTTTATTTCACGTAGTTTAAATACTTCGTGATTCGTTTACCAATATTTCATATATGTCACATATATATATATATTTTTTTAATTTTCTATTTATTGTAAATTGATTATTTCAATGATTCTCTTCTTTATCCTGTAGGTGAAGTGTAGTTCTTTGTTTATGATATGCAACAATTTGATTGAACCGAAAGAAGCAATTGATTTCAGTTGTTAAAAATAACTTCCAATGCACGTGTGAGATTAAATTAAATTTCAGGCGATTGATTTGCAAGTAGATGAATCCTCGTTTACTGGTGAATTGGAACCAAGGCATAAGTATGTTAGATCATTAACATCTCGTAGTGAAAGTTTTGATCATGTTGATAATGTTGTATATATGGGTACATTGGTCAGAGGTGGTCATGGCAAGGTATTACATTTTGATAAAATTTTTTGTGAAAAAAAAGTGACTGAAATTAAGATGATTGGTAATTACAATACGATAATTCATTTAGAAAATGTTATAACAGTCAAAATGATGATGAAAAATTCAATTAAAAAATTAGAATAGAATTAGATTAGTTAAATATTTGAATTAAAATTTAACAGAAACTAAAATTGTTTTTTTCTGAGCCATTTAAATTGCCAGTACTTAAAATATTATAGTTGGATTATCGAAAATATTTAGCAGTGTGATAAAATGCGTACGTACATAAATGCTGATATTTTTAATGTGATGATATTTTTAGTGAAAGTTTCTAGTACTTTAAACTACTTATATTAAAGTAATGCTATTTTATTACAAGCTCTAATTTCCATTTGTGATTGAATTTTTAGATCACATAAATATGGAACGGTATCTTTATTGGTTCATTTTGTTTATGCGGAATTTTTTGTGATTTTTAAAAGATTTTTAGGGAATTGTTATTGGTACTGGAGCACATACTCGTTTTGGTGAAGTCTTTAAAATGATGCAAGCGGAGGAAGTTAGTCAATTTTGAAGGAAAATAGTTTTTTTTTTTTCATTTTATTAATTTGTTGACAAATTTTTTCATTTTTGAATAACAAATAATAATTGTATATTTAATATCCAGATTTTACTGCTTAGATTTTTACTGCTTCTTAAACCAATTCCACCATCAACCTTATGTGATTCCATTTTAACATAATATTCACTGAAGATGTAGTCTTCATTAAGATAGTTAGCATTTAAAGAAATTTCCCTTCTGTAGCAAGAAATTTTGCCATATAATTGAATGCAAAAGAAAATTTTGGCATGAAAGAGACCATCAGAATTAGCGATCAGATTTTATCATAATGCATATTGATCATTAATTATTGATAAAGATATGTTTTGGGGAGCTCAAATAGATTATTTTGATAATTTACTAATAGCAACAGCGTTAAATTATTAAAAAAAAAAAAAAAACGGAAAATACGGTAAAAATTACTTGACGGGAATTACTGTATGATTCAAGTCTTTCATAATTATTTCATTTAGAAAGGATTATATTGATTTATCTGAATTATTAGTGATTAATTTAAATTATTTTATTGTTTATCTGTCCTATGCCTCAATTATCTATTATTGCATTTAATTAAACATGGAGAAGTTCTTCTGGTGTAATTAATAAATGCTAAGAAAAGTAATTAATTGAACTTAAAAGTTTTGTTTTGGAAAAAAATGTTTTTTCTACTTTTTCAGGCACCTAAAACACCACTACAAAATAGTATGGATTATTTAGGCAAGCAATTATCATTATATTCATTTGCAATAATAATTATCATATTTTTTATTGGTTTATTTCAAGGACGTAATACATTAGATATGTTCAGGATTGCTGTAAGGTAATTTCAATTTAGATCTTTTCAAACAATAATTTTTGTTGTGTATTTGATTAATTATACATACAATAGATGACATATTATCAAATAGATGAATGTTACTTAACAATGCTCTCCTCATATATAAGGTATCTGTAAAAAAAAAAAAAAAAAGAAGATATATCGATCAGTTCTTTATCCGGAAAAAAAAAGTGTAATATAATAATTTGATTTCGACTATTTGAGTGTGATCATATAATAGGGGTGATAGTCTCTGAGCATCGATGATAGCATTTATCGAAGATAAGTTATCTCTTAAGAATATTATCTATTATACAGTTGAGGAGAAATTTTAAAAGTGCCTACGATATTTTCCAAAGTTTTTTTCTTTTTTATTTTTATTTTTAAGGATTCTATTAGACCATTTGAGATTTTCTTCTGTTTATTTTTTATGCAAAGGTAGCAGGAAACAATTGGAACTCAAATAATTCAAATAACAATTTCATTTTTTAGTAAATAAATTAAATGATGACATAAAATGATGACAGTTGAATAATTTTCTTTTAATTTTTAGTTTGGCAGTAGCAGCAATTCCAGAAGGTCTTCCCATAGTAGTAGCAGTTACGCTTGCAATTGGTGTAATACGTATGGCATCTCGTCGAGCAGTGGTGAAGAAATTACCAGCAGTTGAAGCTCTCGGATGTGTTACGGTAATATGCTCCGATAAAACGGGTACATTGACAAAGAATGAAATGACTGCAGTTGTTGTCGTTTCTGCTGATGGACAAGTAGCTGATGTAAGCTTACAATCTATTGAATCAAATTATGTTTATTACTATGGTTTTTCTGATTTAATAGAAAGTGATTAAGTCATCATGATCAAATGCATAATTATGTTTTGATAAGTTTTTGGAAGAACTATGAAAAATTCATGGAAATGGAAAATATTTATTTATAAGTTGGCAAAAATTTAATTATTTTTCAAGCATATTTAAAGGATTTTGCATTATTAACTTTTCAGTTTTAATAATTTTACGAGAATTCTTTGAAAAGTTCAAATTTTGATTTGAATTGTATTAGAAAATTTGCTGATTTCGTCGAATATTTGGTTTTCTTTTTCTCTTTTTTCTTTTTTTTATGAGTTGACATATATATATTTCTAATTTTAGGTATTAGGTGTTGGATATTCATTAGAAGGTGGATTATGCATAGTGGGTAGCGAACGTGTTGTTGGTTATTCGCATCCATCAATAAGTCGTGTAATTGAAATTGGTTGCATTTGTAATAATGCAATTATATCGGATGGGATATTGATTGGGCAACCAACAGAAGGTGCTCTTCTGGTCCTCGGAATGAAGGTTGTTGATTTTTGGATAATACAGAATATTTGAGGTTTAAATTAGGACTTTTATATTGTTTATGCGTAATGCTAGTATAGATCAAGATAAGAGTATGAATCAATTCTCTTTCAATTTTGAAATTTGTGATGTTAAGCTTGAATTTGTACTTCTGTACTTTTTTTGGTAAGTTTAAGTATTATTCATATAATTATATTAGAGTAAGAGTAAGGAGAACAACGACCACTTATTTTTGATTTTTGAAGTTTTTAAATTATGTTGCAGTTAAATTTGAATATAAATATTTTTTTATGTGCTAGTATAGTTATTATTTGTATGAATTGAAGTGTAGGTATGTGTGCTATCTTGTGTGTGTGTGTGGTGGGTGTGTGCTATTTTTTCGAGTTTTATTCTTGAAATAAATTTCGAAAATTCAAAATTGAGAAATGAATTGCCCATAATTTTTAGATTTTAAATATCTAATTCCAGTATTTAATTGGATTTTATCTTTCAGACGCAACTAAATGAGCAAGTGAAAAATTACAAGCTAATCAAAGAAATACCATTCACATCAGAATCCAAGTTTATGGCTGTGCAGTGTGAACATGTTCGGGTTAGTCTGAATTTTGGTTCCATTTCACTACGTCAGGTAACTTTTCTTTCCTTGATCAATGTCTTCCCGAGAAAAATTAGTTCGGTCTATCTAATTTCCGGATAATACATTTTAGTGGATTTCTTGATGTTTTTTTTTCCAAAATAATCTTTCGTTTTTCAAATTTTAGTCTAACGGACGAACTGAGTTATTTGTAAAAGGTGCTTTGGACCGTGTATTGGAAATGTGTACCGGATATTTGGAAGGCGATACAAATCCGATCAAACTAACTGATGCTGCAAAGGAACGTTTCATGGAAACCAGTCGATCTTTAGGTTCACGTGGTTTACGAGGTAATTTATAAATGTTAATTTATCCTTCGTTTAATTTCATATTATTTCTTCATCATCCTTATTTAAAGACAGTGACGCATATGAAGTGTAACTTCTTACAATTAGTATACTTTAACTTCATATTTCTCGCTTCTTTTCTATTTTTTTTTTCACTATCTCTTCCTCCATCTTACTTTATGCTATGCTTCATCGCTTAAATTTGATTTATTAACTGAAAACATCAGATAGTTAATTCAGGTTTCATCTTTTACTCCATTACAGTAATAGCTTTGGCTTATGGTTACAATGAACGAGAATTATGCTATGCTGGAATGGTAGGTATTGTGGATCCACTAAGGCCGGGTGTTGCAGAAAGCATTGAAATTGTCCAGTCAGCTGGTGTTAAAGTTAAAATGGTTACCGGTGATGCTCTGGAAACAGCCTGTAGCATTGGTATAGTTAGCAAATTTCAAAATATTTCGTTTCTAAATCAAATTTATTGAAAATTTGAATAATCTTTCACTTATTATCAACTTAATTTTGAAGTATTAGAACAAAGAGTAAAAACTATTTTAAAAAATTCTTCCAAACTTCTAGGCGAAACTTCCCCTAGAAGTTCGGAAAGTTTTTTTTTTTTTTTGCAGTTTTAATTTCTATTCCTCCTACACATACATACAGCCTCATTGCAGGTGCTCATTTGAAACTGTTCACGGCTGGTGATGTGTGTTTATCTGGTTCTGAAATGGATCGAATGACAGATCTGGATCTCGAACGAGTAATCAAATCAGTAACAATATTTTATCGCTCATCTCCGAAGCATAAATTACGAATTGTCAAAGTATGTTTGTTTCTTGATTATCTTTTTCCTCAATCAGTGACTTTTTCCAAGAACCTCATTTTTATTTCGAATTTAAATTTGAAAGTAGGGTTTGCTAGAATCTTCTAGCCCTTACATCATCTATTTCGTTTTTTATAAATATTTACTTTTCAGTACCGCTAAAAAAATGGGTCCCATGACGTATTCAGTTGTGATTTGTGATTTTTTTTTTTTGTTTGATTTCCATCATTCTTTCTCATACAGTAATTAGCAGTATCCTGATAGAATTTCAAAGTTAATCAAATTTTCAAGGCATTGCAAAATATGGGAGAGGTAGTGGCAATGACGGGTGATGGCGTAAATGATGTTGTTGCACTAAAGAAAGCCGATATTGGCATTGCAATGGGTTCCACTGGTACTGATGTGTGCAAGGTAAAATGATCTTTTGAAAAATATGTCATATTGAGTCATTAAAATAAGTTGACATAAACTTTCAGTGAGTTTTAAGATTTCAACAATTAGTTTTATTTTCAAACTTATGCAGCTAAAATAATCGAATTTGTGGAAATTGACGGTTTTGCTTAAATGCAATAATTCGATTAATTAAAACATACTTTATGGGCTGATGGCTCGTATGACTAGAGAAGGGCTTAGCTATTGCATTTTCTTTTTTTTTTTTTTTTTTTCTAGGAAGCAGCCGATATGATACTTACAGATGATGATTTTTATACGATTCAAGCAGCCATCGAAGAAGGGAAAGGCATTTATCATAATATCACTAATTTTGTGCGCTTTCAGTTAAGCACGTTGGTTTTCTATTGCTTTTTCTAATTTATTTCAAAATTTTGAATTAAAAAAAAGACCAAAATTTTGGTTTTTCTACTGGAAAGTCAAAAAAAAAATTTTCAATTTCTCATCTAATGTTGATGATTTCAGAAGTGTGGCAGCTTTATCATTGATTGCAATTTCAACATTATTTGAATTTGAAAATCCGTTGAATGCCATGCAGATACTTTGGATTAACATCATTATGGATGGACCACCAGCGCAAAGTCTTGGTGTTGAACCTGTTGATAGGGTAAGTTTAACTCTTAAAGTTTTAGGTTTAACTATAGGGTAAGTTTAACTCAGGTACCGATTTGTTTATTTTCACTCAACTTTTGCATGCTTACTCCTGGAATACGAATATTTCTTCTTTAGATTAGTACACTTTTCTTTTTTGCAAAATTTTTATTTTATCTCCAAACTGGAATGGATTTTCTTTTGTATCAAATTAGTCAATAAGACTATGGTAGGAAGAGACATTATGTTATGCTCACGACGTGGATGAAGGGAGGAAGAACGATAAAATAAAAGATTTAGTGGAATTTTATGGTAAAAAAAGAATGCATCAATGAGACAGATGCATTACTGATTGTCAATGATATAAATATCACTCATATTTCTTTTCGTTAATTTTCAAATTTCAGGATATAATTCGTCAACCTCCGCGAGACGTACGGCAACCAATGATAAATAATGCTTTTATAACTAATATTTTAATATCTGCAGCAATTATTATTACCGGAACACTTTCTGTTTTTTATAAAGAAGTAAGTAATTTATCAGAATTTCTAATTCTTTGAAATTTCTGAGATTAATTCTCTGTCTTTTTGTCTTTCTCCTTCTCCTTTTCTTACTTTCAATTTAACCTTTATCAGAAAAATCAAGATTTTTATTATTGTTTTTGTTTGTTATCATTATTATTTATCCATTTTTATTAATTATTATTAATTGTTGTTACACTGCTATTTACCACTTTTGTTATTAATTACTAAACATCGGATATAATTTTTTCTCTTCATCGGTCACACTTATGATTTTAATCAAATAATATATTCCATTGAATACTGAATGGTAATGATCTGGTTGATGTTGAATGATGTTTTTCATATTTCCGGCTCAGAATCTTTTCTTTTTTTTTTGAAAAATCTTATGAAGTTAAAAATATTCGGCTTGAAGAAAATGTAACACTGGTTTTAGATGTCAGCAGATAACAAAGTAACACCACGTGATACAACAATGACGTTTACATGTTTCGTTTTATTTGACATGTGGAACGCGCTTGCTTGTCGTTCAAGTAGGAAATTCATATGGGAAATTGGTTTATTGAGGTGAGTTTGTATTATTGTTAAAAAATGAAATAAAAAGACAAATTCGAATTCTAGGTTTTTGTAAACTTGAATTTTCTATAAAATGTAAATCTTCAAAAGTTTGATTTTTCAGTTTTTTTTAATTTTTAATTAAAGAAATTTAACTCTTTAATTTTTTTTCTTTTTGGTACGCTTTTCATCCTGAATTGCCTAACCTCCAACAATAATTCATGTACGTAAACATTATTAAAAGAAATTGTAGTATCTTGAATGTTTCTTTTTCAGGAATCGTATGTTTTGTTTTGCTGTATTTGGATCTATTTTTTGCCAGTTAGCAGTAATATATTTTCCTCTGTTGCAAAAAATTTTTTCAAACTGAAGCATTAAGTTTATACGGTAAAATTTTCTATTTTTGAAAATTTTCAATCAAATAATAATTTATTTTGTTCATATGCATATTTGTATATTTGTTATAGTATCACCAATTTAAGAGATAAAATTACTCTAATCATAGAAGATAATATCAAAAACATTTTGATATTGAATATAGACAATATGTAATAATATATTGGCACTAACTTGGATAATTAAACTTTGGGAATTTATTTTTTCTTTTTTTTGAGGGGGGGAGGAGGCTACTGCTGATATTTTCATTTCCTTTCCTGTCTTTCATTTATTTGCAGTTTATTTTTCACATTTGAAATTGCTTCTTGATATCATCATTTTTGCATTTTCAAATTTGATTGTTGAAAGAAATGAAATATTTTACAAAATACTTTTATTAATTTGGTTTCTCACCTTTTCATGTTTGATTCGTTGAGGAAAAGCTGTTTTTTTTTCTATAACAATTGATTAGTTTGTTTATTGTTATGAGAGGAAAAAGTTTCACATAGTAATTTAGTAATATAAACTATCTTGACGAAGATGTAAAGCTATTTCCTTCATTCTAAGCTATCTTTAACTTTTAGATGATAAAATTTATATTATCATTAATTATTACAGATTTGATCTTTCTAACAATGCTTACATCAGTAGTTTTTATTGTTGCTGAAGCAAGGAAATATTTGGAATTAAAGTTGAAGAAAACACCATATATGATCATCGAAGAAACTGGGAATTTTTAACACTTATCATCAATTATTCATCAGTTGTTGTACTGAATAAAATTTAGTTGAAAAAATTTTGTATCATAAAAAAGGAAAATTGGAGAGAGATAAATTCCAATGATTCCTTTTTTTTTTCTTCATTTTGTTGTCTGATCTATTTTCTCCTTCGAAAAATAAATATCATTTAGATGTAATGACTACATGATAGAGATATGATAAATTTTTATCATATTCAAGTATCAATGTTTTCATATTACTGGATAATTTATGGCAAAACTATAAATGCTTGTTATTTGTTCACTTATCATGCAAAATTTCGAGGTTTTATTTCATTTTTTTTTTACAACGAAATATGAATGATATAGGAAATTTGTTAAAAAATTAATAGGAACTATCTTAACTATTTTTTTCTAAACTTTCTATTTTTTAATCATATTCTGTAATGTTGTTTTGTTTATTTTCCTCCTTATTATAGCATCTGTTATATTTTTTATATTCCATTATTTTATACAAATATGGTTATGCAAATGAGTGATTTCAGGTTTTAATAATTAATTCTTTTATAAAACTTTCTATTTCAATGAACATTTTTTAAATTTCTCATAAATTTACAAAGTTGTATAATAAAACCGGCAGCAATTTTATTCAGGATTTCTTTTAAAATTCCTAAGGAAATTTCAGGATTTTTTATTTTTTAAATTAATTATTTCAAATTTACTTCACCATCATTATAAATTTAACTTTCAAATCGAATATCTAATCAAAATTAGCAATATGCTAAATTATTTGATATTGTACAGCAACCAATCTATTTTATTGACGCTTTTTTTTTTCTTTTTTTTGATTATTTCGATTTATTTCACTGCCATTCTAAAAAAAAAAATTCAACTTTCAAGCCGAAATTTTCTTAGCAATAGAATTAGCATAATCAAAATTAGCAATACGTTAAATTATTCGACATTATACAGCAACTAATCTATCTTATTATTTGACGTGCGTTTGGCAAATTATGCGTTTATTCTTAAACATTCTATGTTATATCATGTTAAAATTACTCTTGGATATGATATTTTCGTTTTAAACATATCATTACAATTATTAAATTTTGCTGGAAAGATATTACTAAATGAATAGAAGATAATGATTATTTTACAGCATATCTGCCCACAAGAAATATCGAATTTTATATTTTAAAATTCAAAAAGAAAAAAATAGTCTCTCAAGTTTTAATTATTCCTTCTTTTTTTGTTCAAATGACACGAAAAATGAGGCCTTTCTGTTTATTTCATTTTTTCTTTAGTTCTCTTTGTTGTTTATTTATAAAAGAATAATTATTTCGCATATAAAATAATTTTCCTTCATTATAGGTTTTTTTTTTTTTTAAATTATGAAATTTTAAAACAGTTGGAAATCATACATTTGTCATTTGTTTATATATGTATCTGTGATAATGTATCTAAAAATGGATAGATGTTTTTGGTTCAAAGAAAATTAAAGTAAATGATAGGATATGCAATATTTTCTCTTTAATCGAATACTGTCAAAAATTTGCATGCATCATTCCGATCGAATATGATTAATTAAGGAGTGATAAAAGAAGTATGATAAGATCTATTTACAATTCTTTGAATCGATAACTATATCTTTTCAAATCATATGATGTGTTGATAACATTTTTCGTTTCATTCATTCAATTTTTAATATGTTGGTAACAAGTAGAAATGAATTAAAAGAAATTAAATAAAAAACGATATATGTGTTGTAAAAATGAACATTGATGGAAATGAAATTTTTTTTCGTTTCCTTTCTTGTTCAAACAAATATTTTTTTTTAAAATGTAATTTTCAATGTCCATTAACAATGAAAAGCAATAAGAGATCAAAATTAGGGAAATTGTAACAAATGTTATATCGTGTTTAATCAATTTTTCACATAAATAATCAACAGAGTAACTACTACAATTTTCCTCGTTACTTTGCCGCTTTGCCATTATTAACGCTTTTGTGTACTGATATAAAGTACTGAAATTAAATTTTTTTTTAATTGATAATTAAAATTACCATTTTAAATAAATTGAATGAAAAAGTAACGGAACTTTTAGTGCTCTGGTATTTAGATGTGAAACATCTTTGTATAGAATAGTCTTACTCTTTTTTTTTCACAATTTTTTTTATTCATTATTTAAAATTAAAATTTCAAACTAAAACAAACCATTATTTCCTCGAATAAATGCATCACCATATTTGTTTTTCAACTGTCCATTAGAATATTCTTCCGTTTGCTCCAATGCAATATTCATAAAACCATCCAAACATGATAAAATACCTAATAATATACGGTTTATATTGCATATCATCATATACTGCCTTACACATCAATCATCATATATTATAACTTGTCATGACTAAAAAAAAAAACAAAAAAAAACCTTTCGTAATTTTTTTTTTTTCACAATTTCAAACTGATAATTTCCATGCTTAATGCTTGAATTATATGAAATGATTCCGAAGGTTAAAGGTTATGTGAGGGTTAAAAGTTTGAAAGGTAAATTTTAATCTCATGCTAAATTTTGCTGCATATTAAGGTTAATCAATGAATTGCTAGAGAGACTATTATTATTTTTACTATTATTTCACTAGAATTTTATGTTATAATAAGACTTTTTAGAGTACCAACATGATGATTCAATAAATAATATCAAAGAAATTTAAGTAAATTAAGAAAATTTAAAAATCTCAAATAATCACAATAAATATCACTAAATTCAAGCATTACCTCGATAATCAACACCAGAATTTAACTTCACAACAACAGGTTTACCAATTATTTGTTTCAAAAATTCACTTGGATTTTGACGTCGACTCATCTAAAATTATGAAATTGAAATTAATCAAAAATGAGCATAAACATGTTCCTTCGCATATGAATGAAACATTTTTAACCGGAAAAAAAATGATTCCATATTCTTTTGTACCGTACTGCTGTATTACTGTATTGCTACCTGTAACAACCATATCCGGTAACAGTTCAAGTTATGAGGTTATAAAATGAAGCATATATATCAATGTAAGAACATATTAATTTCCGGAAATGTCAAAAATTAGTTAAAGCAGTAAGCCATATGAATGCTAAAAATGTTTATATTTGATTGAAAGATTGAGCATCACAATTACAGGATGAAACGGAACAATTAATATGAAAAGGCTTCATCATCATCGATCTATTTAAACCGGATAGCCTATTCGGTTATTTTCCAATTAGCACTACCAATCAGCACTAATCAATCGTGTCCCTATCCGGTTATTTTCAATTAGCACTAATCAATCGTGTCCCTATCCGGTTATTTTCAATTAGCACCAATCAATCGTGCTCCTATCCGGTTATTTCCAATTAGCACTAATCAATCGTGTCCCTATCCGGTCATTTTCAATTAGCACTAATCAATCGTATGCATTCTCGAAACCTTTACCAAATTCAGATTTGAGCAACCTGATAGCTTGAATCACATTCATCAACATGTCATCGCCAATAATCTCCATCTAATCATCATTATTAAACTATTCTTCGAATAGGAAAGATATTTAATCCGATGGAAAAAAAAAAATTAGAATCTTAACCTTTATCTCACAAACTGTAAGTATCTCTTATTCAAAAAGATAAAATGACCATACCGTTTCCGGTTGTTCTTTGATCAATTGTCAACTATTTTTTGGTTAGAAAAAAATTTGACCAAATCCAATACTATCCTCCCCAGTTATCAGCAATTTCCAATCTGAATGATTAAGCAAAATCCCAAAATGACAGTAATTAATTATGGATTGCAGTTAATTAACAAACATGTATGCAAAATACAGTATGCTCACTTTATCCTACCATCACAGTAATTCTTTTTCTTTTCCCTAAAGCTTACATTAATCATATACCTTCAGCTAATCATCTATACCATACTACTGTACCAGAAAATAATCATATCGAAATTAAGACTAAAATCATGAACTTCACCTACATCAGAAAAAAAAAAAGAAGGTAAAATGATAACGATAACTTAATCATTGATAAATTACATAATTAAAAGAGAATTTTGCCAAAACTTCTAAACTTCATCCTATTACCACTAATTAATTACCAAATATTATTTTGAAAATAAGAACTCACTTCACCACCATTAAATAATTATTAAATATTATCTTTTTATAAAATACCATCGTATTGGAGCATAAAACAACGATAAAAATTATTATTTCATATTCCTTTTTTCTTCTATTTCTTTCTTTAAAACATTTTGAAAATCACAAAACGGAAAGAAAGATAAATTACCGCTTATGGATGCTTTATATATATATATATATATATATATATAACTAAATAGTAG